TCTGGGTCCTCATTTCACTCACCTCGGAAGGATGGAAGGCTGAGTCATCCTTTGAGCCGGTGAGATTTGAACCGCTGAACTGCAGATAACAGTCAGCTGAAGTGGTCTGCAGTACTGCACCCTAACCACTGTGCCACCTTGGCTCTCTCTAAAAATAGCTGCTATGGCAAGGAATCTATGGCACGCGTGCCACAGGTCCCCTCTTTCCGGGCATGTGAGCCGTTGCCCCAGCTCAACTCCTCCCGCCGGCTAAGCTGATTTTCCAGTTTCTTGGACAGCCTAGAAATCAACGTTCACGTTCTAATCTACAGCAAAGCTGCACAGCAAACCTTTCCAACATCCAAAATGGCCGCCACTGAAGCCTCCTCAACCGGATACGTGACAGGGTTTTACTAAAGAGCTATACACAGACTTGGGAGTGGGTTCTTACAAGCACGCGAACACAGTCATATCAACTACGTCCCACAGTTACATCATGTGTACAAAAACACCAGGTTCATGGTTGGTGGCTATGTTTAAGTCATCCTTGGACTATCTCCATTTGAAAAGAAGGACCGGGGGTGACATGATGGCAGTATTCCAGTATTTGAGGGGCTGCCACAAAGAAGAGGGAGGTCAACTTACTTTCTAAAGCCCCAGAAAGACAGCTAAGAAACAATGAATGGGAAACTAATCAGGGAGAGAAGCAATCTGGAATGAAGGAGAAACTTCCTAACAGTGAGGACAATTAACCAGTGGGACAGAAGTTGCCTCCAGAAATCGTGGGTGCTTCATCAGTGGAAGTTTTTAAGAAGAAACTGGACATCCACTTGTCTGAAACGGCATAGGGGCTCCTGCATGAGCAGGGGGTTGGACTACAACACCTCCATGGTCCCTTCCAGCTTTATTCTGATGGATTACTCCTTATACAAAACCATTATTCTGAAATAGCTGCTCAGTTTAATTAAAGTGAAACTTTAATTTATGATACTTGCTCCCACCGCAAGGCTCTGGTCTATTTAACATACCTAGCTAATTCCCTCTAATATGTGGCCAATTAATACGTTCTCTGCAACCAGAGGTTCTCCCTGACATGAAAGTACCATAAAAGCAGCTTTGAGCAAGGTCTGTCAAAGCCATTTTTCCTAGCCACCTTACATAAATGCTACAGCTGTAGCTCCAGATGTCCCAGTCAGCATGGCCTCTTGTCAGGAATTCCGAGACTTGTCATTCCAACACACATGGGAAAACACCATATATGGAGAAACCTGGATTATGGACAGAAGTTCTTCTAGCAATAACAATAGCCCTTAGAATTACATACCACCCTGTAATGCTTCATAGCATTCTTTGGGTGGTTTACAAGGTAGAAGCATTAGTTGCATATTGCCCTCAACAACATGGGTCCTCATTTGGCAGACCTTGGAAGGATGGAAAGCCGAGTCAACCTTGAGTCCTGTCGGGATCAAACTCCAGGCTGTGGGCAGAGTTAACCTGCTATACCGCATTCCAACCACTGGCGCCACCAGGGCTCCTAATATTACTTCAATCAGGTGTGTCAAATTCACGTTGTCACAGTGGTGTCACGTGACATATCGGGACTTTACCCCCCCTTGCAAAACCGGGCATGGGCGTGGTCAGCGCATGATGCAACCGGACCGTGGGTTGGGAGTTTGACAGCCCTGATTTAAGTGAAAAGTAGGGAACTTACATGGTGCTCCAGTTATTGTCTAATCAATTCCCACTGGTATCCCTACTATTGACCAGGCTGGCTGGGGCAGCTGAGAGATATAATATAACAGTGCTTCAGGGTCCATGGATTATCCACTCCTGCCTGGACTTCTCTTCCTCAGAAGTTCATGAGATATCTTCATGAGATATAAACATGTTCCCTAGAGAGGAATATATAGCTAGCCAAACTAGAAAAGCTGTAGCCTCCTCATGTCATATTCTGCTGTTCAATTTGGACAATCAGATGCAACTGCCTTTTTGCAATAGCAGTATTGAGGTCCCACAGGAACTCCATCAGCGAACCCTTCAGCAGATACTCCATAGGTACAAATTGCAAGATCTGCTGGGGGGACGTTGAGTCAAGCAGAGTTCTCATAAGTTCATTTAGCTGCTGTAGGTACTGGAAAACCGAATCTGGAAGACCTTGATATCCGACACAGAGCAAGACGGCATTGGTCCTTAGGGGCTGAGACGAGGTGGGGCAAGCGAAGGAAATACGCTGGAAACAGCTCTGCAATATGAAGACTAAACCCGCCATGAAGCGGGTGAAGCAAGAAAGAACCGGCAAAACCAACGCATCTCCTTTCTGAAGCTGAGGAAACGCACCCAGCAGGCATTCTAGAAAATGCAGCTGATATTTCGGTTCTCCGTCATGCAGTAAAGTACAGCTAAAAGCCAAGAGAGGGGCTGACTCCACGTTTTTAATTTCCCAGCCAGACCTACTTTCACCATCGTAAAACAGGGGGCAACCTAAAACCAAGCACTTCCTTTGGCTTGTGCAATCTTGATCCGGAGCAGGTTCGAGACATGCCATCAGTTCTGATAATTCGGACAGCACCGATGATACGGGAAGAACACAGCAAAATTGGCACTCTGCGTACGCCGCTTGGGTGTGGTCACCGCGAACGGTTTGGCCAACCAACGATTTTTCAATGGCTTCGTTGAGGCTCTTCAGTACCTCCCCGCCACAGAAGGGAGAAAAGTTAACTCTCGGCAATCGCTTGCCTTCCAAGATATACCATAGGTGACAGTCTAGGTTGCCGGGGGCTCCTTCTAAAACGCAGCCCTTCCCAACGTTACCGAGAACGTGTTCGTCAATCCACTGGTTAAGACATCCTTTGACAACTTTATCTTCCCAGGAGAGGGATTCCAGCAGCTTCCGCTCGTTGTAGGTGCAGAAATACCTGTTCCTCTGCCCAAACCATTTGGAGTTCATGCTGTAGCCGGCGTGAGGCTTCTTCACCAGCCAGTTGTTTCGGGACAGGGGTTTCAATTGGAACCTCTGCAGGAAATATCTGACGCAGCAGTCCCGCAGAGCGTTTAACCTGGCCTGCTCCACCTCGTCCATGCGGTCAAAGAGCCGGAGGTTTTCGGAAATTGTCTCCGTTTGCTGCTTGTGAAAGAACAAGCAGCATTCTTCGTGGACTTTGAGAAAGGACTCTGGGATCAAGTGCTGGGGAAACAGGGCCTTGGACACCAGTTCTGACCCAAAGTTCTGCAGCATCTTCGATAAGACGAAGTGAACGGCTTCCCGGCCCAAATAGCGCAGGCAAACCACGTAGGCCTCGGAGTTCCCTGCTTTGCTCGTCGCGGGTTTAAAAACGTGAACCTCCTCAAAGGAACAGTTGAGGAGAAACATCAAATTCACCGAACTATGTTCGAACAAGGTGAACATCTTCAGGACAAAAGAGCCTCCGGGACTCAGCGTCATTAGGGCGGTGACCGTTTCGCAGTAATGCAAGGGGGAAACAAGCGCCTCTTGCTCGCCCGGGTTCCCCTGGCAATCGAAACTCCCGTCGGAGGTGACCAAATGAACGGTGGCCATGTTGCTTATGAAATGCTGCAGCCCCGTGAGGTGATTCAGGCTCATGACGTCTCCGGTGTTCTCCGGACCAAAATACCACCAGGGCAACGTGTTGGCAATAAGCCGGTCATCCATAATCATCATGAGGGTATCGTTCGCTTCGTGGTAGGGATTCAGGGTGTTGGCCACCCAGTTCCAATCGCAAGGGATGCGGTGAGACTTCAGATAGTGGTTGAGGCTGGCTATAAAAGCTCCGGGGGCCTCACATAGATGGACGGAGTTGAGTTCGCCGTTCTGAAGAGCGTCGCTCGGGAGAAGAGGGAAAGTGCAAATGATCTCGTGGAATTTGCACCACGCTTGAGTGCACAACTCAGCGTTGACCGACTTCTTGATGTGGGCAATAACTTTCCCTGCTTTGTTGGTGAAGGAAGTGTGCTGGTGCCACTCATCCAGCTGTTTATCGCTGAGTTTGTTCTTGACGTCGTTCAAGGAATCCTTGAGCGCCTCAAGGGAACCGAAGGCTTTGTGATGGGAGGCGAAAACCTGGCTGGGATTGGGCAACTGCCATTCGTTGTTGGCTGGTTTGGTGTAGGAAAAGGTCTTCTGGAACAGTTTTTCAATTTCGGCAAGGATATCTGGGCCAAACTGGTCAAGGCTTATTATCTGCTCGTCGGACATGGTCTTCTGTTTTTTCAATTTCAGGTCCAGGAATATCCAGAAAAGGAAAGGGAGAGTCTAAAATGCAAAGAAATGAAGAAATGGTTTAAGAACTCAATAAAACACTTCCTTAACTTTTGGTGCAGAAGGAAAGAGATTTCCCTTATGCCTGTGATGGCGAACCTATGGCACGCATGTCACAGATGGCACACGGAGCTCTCTCTGCAGGCACGCGAGCCGTTGCCCCAGCTCAACTCCGCCGCACATGCACGCACGCCTCCCACCAGCCTGCTGATTTTTGGGTCTCTGCCACGTATGCGGGAGATGTGCGTGTATGTGCGGGGGGGGGTCATGCGTGCATGCGCGGAGGGTGCGACGCTCCTCTCCTGCGGCCCATTTTTGGTCCCAGGAGGCTTCATGGAGGCGTGGGTGGGTGGGGTCACACGGACATGCGTGGGGCCCAGTGCACATGGAGGGCACCGCCGCATTGCATTACGGGTGTGAGAGAGGACAAAAAGGTTAGCCATTACTGCCCTATGCTGAGCATTTCATCTTGCAAGAAAAGATGAAACAAATGTGAAAAGAAAAACGTATAGCCCAGCCAGTCATCAGGCAGAGGAAGTGTTCTTGACGTATTCTTCCTATTCAAAACATCTTTTTTCCACTCCGTCTTTTGAGGCTAACAAATCCCGATATTTTAAGTACTGTGATTCAAGAACAGCAAATAATTCTGGGGGATGTAGCTGTAGTACACAGAGTATACATAAATGGGAAGGCCGACTCTGAATGAAAAATGTGTTAAGCACCAGAATAGAAAAGAATAGAATTTTATTATTTGTATGCCGCCCTTCACCAGGAGGACTCAGGGTGGTGAACAATTCAA